TCGAGCGTCTGCTCAAGAGCAGTCCGTAGCAGGTTCTTCTTCCCACGAGGTCTCGGGGTCTGTGGGGGGCTCGGGGGGCTCCTTCGGGGGCCCCCAGGGGCCCCAGCGCGGCGGCCGCTCCCAGGGGGGCCCCCGCGGCTCCGCCAGCAAACGGCAAACGATGGAACGCTCAAGTACCTCCTGGAGGCGCCAGGCCAAAGAGGAGGGGCCCCCAGAGGGGGGCCCCCAGTCGAAGTCGCGGGCGGAGTGGGGGGCCCCCCCGGGGGGCCCCCGCGGGGGCGGCGGGGACTCCAGGCGGAGTCGGTGGCGGGGGGGCCCCCACGAAGGCGACAGCAGCAGCAACAGCAGCAGCAGCAGCAGCAGCAGCAGCCACATGAAGCGGCAGCGCGAGGACGAGGAGGGGCCCCTAGGGTACAGTTCGGACTCCGAGTTGTCCTTAATGTCTGTGGCCTCTGATGAACAGCGCCAGGGGGACCGGAGCCCCTCAGTGGAGTTTATGCACAGAGAGGGGCCCCACAGCAGCGGGGGCCCCCTGCAGCAGCAGCAGCAGCAGCAGCAGCAGCAGCTGCTGCGGCTCGACGGCCAAGAGGCTGTGGGGGAGCTGCCTGCAGTCTTGACTCCCATGTCTTCTTTGTCAAGTTCGGACTCTTCTCTCTCGCGGGCTTCTTCGCCTTCTCAGAGCAGAGAGGCCTCCAGGGGCCCGGGGCCCCGCCGGGGCGAGGGGGCCCCCCTGGGCGTGCAGGGGCCCCCCCTGGGGGGGGGCCCCCCGGGGCCCCCCGGAGGGTCCGCTGGGCCGGGCCTGCGGGAGGGGTGGGGCCCCTCGCTGGACTGGCCGCCCGGGCTTGGGGGCCCCCTGGGGGCGCCTCCGGGGGCCCCGCTGGGAGGGGGGGCCCCGCTGGGGGCCCCGCTGGGGGGCCCCCTGGGGGGCCCCCTGGGGGGCCCGCTGGGCCCCTCGAGGCCCTCGTCGGGGTACGGGGGGAGGTCACCTGGAGGTGACCCCGGCCCCGGGGGGGCCCCCGGGGGGGCCCCGGGGGGGGCCCCCGGGGGGGCCCCCGGAGGCGAGGCCGGGGCGCATGCAAAGAGAAGCCCCGGGAGACGCAGCGGGAAGTTTTTGTTTGACCTTTGGGTCCCAACAACTTTCCATCCTCTCGGGAAAGATGCAGTGAAGGCCGTTTTGGGGGCCCGCGGGAATACCCACAAAGAAATGGAAAGGGTCGCGGGGGCCCACGTGCAGATTTACGGCAAACAGCTCAACAGAAATACCAAAAAACACGAATATGACGAATTCAGGTGAGACCCCAGCAACGCCTGCAGCCACGCATGCATGCGTGCATGCATGCATGCATGCGTGCATGCGTGCATGCATGCGTGAATGCATGCATGCATGCGTGGCTGCATGCATGCATGCATGCGTGGCTGCATGCATGCATGCATGCATGCGTGGGGCTGGTGTTGGGCGCCGTCGAGGTTTGGGGGCTGTTGCTGCTGTTGTTCCGTAGCGGGTGTACGTACACCTGAGTGGCCACGCGCGCACAACGAAGCGCTGCACTCTTCAGTAGTTTTGTTGTAGCTAGAAATAATTAAAACAAATTAAAACTAGTTAGAATTAATTAGAAGTAATTAAAATTAATTAAAATTAATTAGAACTGAAGAGCCAGCATGTGCGCTGACGGACACAACGCAGCAAAAGTCCAAAGTAATCGGCTGCCCGCGTACGCGCAACAAACCGCAGGCGGTGCTGCTGCTGCTGGCCCAACGGCAGCAGCAGCAGCAGCAGCAGCAGCAGAGCCAGAAGCAGCAGCATCAGTAGCCCAAGCAGCAGCAGCAATAGCCTTAGGAGCAGCAGCAGATCCGTAGATGTAGGCCAAGGCTCGAGGGGAGGCTGAAGCTGGTAGTCTGCGGTGTCTGTACTCCCCAGCTGCGCTGCCCTAGCAGCCGCTCCACGCATGCACGCTTGCATGCATGCATGCAACAGCTTCCTCAGCTCCCTTCTGCTGCTGGCTGTCCCTCACCGCTTTTGCCGCGCTGCAGCATCTGCCGCTGCGCTGCTGCTTCTGCTGCTGCTGCCGCGTTGCTGCTGCTGCTGCTGCTGCTGCTGCTGCTGCTAGGGAGTGTTTCTGGAGGTTTGTGGGCGCTGCAGGGACAACCAGCCGCTGCACCTGGTGGTCACGAGCGACCGCCTCCGCAACCCAAACCCCAGTCCAGAAGAGCAGCTGCAAATAGTGCATCGCCTGCAGCACATGTTGGAGGGCCTCGTGCGGGACTGCTGGCCCCCGGGGGCCCCCCACCCCCCGCATGCATTCTTCGAGAAGCAGCAGTGCTTGGGGCCCTCCACGGGGCCCCTCGTGGAGGTCCACCCGCTCGACGGTTCCTGCAGAGTCGCGGGGGCCCCGGGGGCCCCGGGGGCCCCCGGGGCCCCGGGGGCCCCGGGGGCCCCCCCGGGAGGGGGGGGCCCCCCGCGCCTGCCCGCCAACCCGGCGGCTGCGCCCGGGGGCCCCCTCGCGCTGCAGCAGCAGCAGCGCGCCAACGACCCGGCGCCCCAGGACCCCAGGGGGGCCCCCCCGGACAGGCAAGCGGGGGGGCCCCTCTCGTTCCCCCAGCCCCCGTCGGGGCCCCCGCCGCCCCCGCAGCAGCAGCTGCAGCAGCAGCAGCTGCAGCAGCAGCAGCAGCTGCAGGAGGAGTCGCCCTCGCAGGCCCCCTGGGCCCACGCGGACCCCGCAGCTGTCCACGCCCTGACCAGTGGACCACGAGGTGGGTTGCTGCTGGGGGCCCCCAAAAGAGCTGCTGCATGCAGACTTGTTGGCTTCTTTGGGGCTTTTGGGGCTTTGCCAGGTCCACCCAGGGGCCCCAAAGAGGCCCTTGCTGGCTTCTTCTTTAGGGGAAAATCCGCAGCTTTCGCAGCAGGGTTTGCTGCTGCTTTGCAGCAGCAGCAGGAGCGCCTAGGACGAGCTAGTTCCGCTGCAGCGGAGGGTCTAGGGTTTAGGGTTTAGGGTTTAGGGTTTCGGCGTGAGGGTTTCAGACGGGCGGCAGGCGCGGGCCTGCGGGCTGCAGGCCCGCGCGGCAGCGGCCTAGGGTTTAGGGCTTAGGGTTTAGGGTTTAGGGTTTAGGGTTTGGGTTGGCGTGCGCGCAGGGGAGGCCCGCTTCCAGGGCGACCCGAGTTTGCTGCTGGACCTGCCGCCGCCCGTGTGTCTGCTGATGCTCACGCTGCAGGGGCTGCATGCGCTGCTGGCTGAAGAGGGCCCCTGTTCGTTTGCTGCACTTCCGCAGCGTTTTGCGACTAAGTGGGAAGTGCCTTTGCGTTACTTGCGGGCTGAGTACGGGCTGGGGCCCTCTTGTGCTTTGTCTTGGAACGACACTCTCTTTGGTTTCCTCAGTCTTTTCCCCGAAATCTTCACTTTCGCAAACCCCCAGGGGGCCCCCGGGGGCCCCTGGGGGGCCCCCGACCACCCGGCGGGGCCCACCGTCGCCTCCGTGGAGGCCCCCCAGTTCAGGGCCGTCGCGGCCCGCATGCGCCACCTCCTCGCCTCCTAGCAAGGGGCCCCCACGGGGGCCCCCAGGGGCCCCCGCGCAGACCCAGGGGGCCCCGGGGCCCCCTGCGGGGCCCCGGCGCCCCACAGGGGGCCCCGGGGCCCCACAGGGGCGTCCAGGGGCCCCACTGGCGACCTACTGGGGCCCGGTGGGGCTTCTGTGGGGGTTCCGGGGTGTACGTACAGTTCGCGGTGGGTGGCCGCGCTTTGAGGTGTATGTACAGCTGCTTGGGGTGTCTGCACTTGCAAAGGTGTGCGCAGTTTGCGGTGTACGGACAGCTCTGCCCGCTGGGGTGTACGTGGAGCTGCACTTTGGGGTATTTGTCTCTCAAGTGTAATTGCGCCTTAGAGTGTGGGGCCGTGGGGTGTACGTACACCCGAAGCACAGAGCCCCAACGCATGCAAAAGGGCTAGTCTGCGCATGCAAAAGGGCTAGTCTGTGCATGCAAAAGGGCTAGTCTGTGCATGCAAAAGAGCTAGTCTGCAGCAGGAGTTTGGAAAGAAAGAGCAGCGCAGCAGCTGGGGAAGCGAAAGAGACAAAGTGTGGGGCCCCGGAGTTGCCCCGCTTTTTGCTTCTCTCTTTGCCCCCTCTCGGGCCTCAAGTCGCTGCTTGTTTGCATCATAGTGCTTTTGAAAGTGCATGAAGGTTTGCAATAATCCTGCATATAATATATATATATATTATATATATATTTATATATATATAATATATATAGATATATATATATATATATATATATATATGTATTTACGCATATTTACGTATACATTGCTGCATGTACGTACACAGACACAGCGGTGTATGTACACCTGCACTAATATGAACAAACGCAAACATCCGCATGCATAAAACGCTGACATAAATGTTTAGAATTCATCTTTAGGCACAACTGCATGCATCTTTGGGTCTATTTTTGCATGCGAGTTTCTGCATACGGGTGAAGGCTGAGGTGTACGTACACCGCACGTCCACGCGCAGACGAAAGCGCCGCTGCTGCTCAAAAAGGTTCAAAAAAACTCTAAGAGGCATTTTAATGCCTTTTTCCATTATATATTTGCATGCATTAATAAATGCGCAAATGCATTTTTAATGTGCTTGCCCGTACGCCTACGCCCAAGTGTATGTACACAGCAACGTTGAAAGATGCATGGGAATACATCTGCATAGAAATATGTTCTCGCATATATTCAAATAATATTCATTACATTTATTTCAATGCATTCAATATATATATATATACATATATATATATATATATATATATATATGTATAAACGATATATACGTATAGATAGGGATTTTCTACATGCATGCATTGATGCTGAGAGCCTGAGGGTTTTCGAGAGCCTGAGAGGCCTCTTTGAAGCTAAAGAGGTTTAGGGTTTGGGGCTTTGCTAAGTCCCGAAGGGTTTAGGGTTTGGGGCCGGGGCTTTCGCCCGAGAGAAATAGGGTTTGGGGTTAGGGCCTCCACGCGGGGGTTTAGGGTTTGGGGTTTAGGGTTTGGGGTTGGGGCTGTGGCTCAAGTACTAAAACACGATCAACTGCAGCAGCTAGCTGCTCTTTTGGCTGCTGCAGGGCGCTGGTGTTTGCTGCTGCTGCAGTAAAGTGGAGCTTCTAAGGGGGGACAGTTGGTGCTGCATTAATTAAATTGCTGAGGCTGTTTAATTGAGCAAAGACAAACGAAAAGAATTCATACTGGAGAGAAAAGAAACAAAAAGAAAAGACAATGGCTGAGCAGAAGGCCGAAGAACGAAGCGCGTAAAGTGTGAAGACTTGAGTTCAAGTCCGAAACCTTAGGGGGGGCTAGCTACTTCTTCTTTCTGCAACTTATCAGTGCATTTAGGGTAATTTGTTTGCATTTATTTCATTTATTTAGTTTATTTTGTTGTTTAGAATCTGGAAAAAGCTGCTGCGGAAGATGCAGCGGATCTGCTCCCCCGGGATTCGGCAGAGGCCGTTGCTTAGCCACGGCGCGCGCCAGAAAAGGAGTGAAGGGGGCATAGATTGCATTTTTGTTTTTATTAAATGAATTAAAAATAATAAAATGAAAATGATAGCGGTTTGGCGGAGTTGGATTTCAGGCGAAACGCCGAGCTGTACATACACCGCAACACACCGTGTGCGTCTTTCGGTCGCTCCCTGCAGCCGACACAACTATTAGTTGGCCTCTTTCTTTGACTTGAGCGAGCTGGAACAATGAAATTCAAAACATACTTTTAAAAACCTTTTTTTGTAGTGAGATTCAGCAAATTTGAAGAGGTGGAGCGCAGGATCCGCGCGGGTGGCACCCGGACGGCCAAAGGAGCAGCAGCAGCAGCAGCAGCAGCAGCAGCGGCCAGGCAGCCTATTGAAAGCTGCCTATCTTTTCAGTAGGGTTCTTATTCTGTCTCTCTAAATAATTTATCAGCCATTGCAAACGTCTAAATTTGCACTTGTGTTGCTGCCGCTGCTGCTGCTGGTGCAGCGGCAGCGCCGCTGCTGCTGGGGGTCGTCCGGAGCTTGAGCCGAAACAGCAGCAGCAGCAGCAGCAGCAGCTCCAGCAGCAGCAGCAGCAGCAGCCGCCGCAGGACTGTCTTCACCCCATATTGTTGAACACGGTCATGAGACCTCCTGTAGCGTACGAGACTACTCAACGGATGTACCACAGCAGCAGCAGCAGCAGCAGCAGCAGCAGCAGCAGCAGAACCGGCAGCAGCGCTGCCCCTTTGACCCAGCAGCAGCAGCTGTCTCTTTCCCTGCTGCTCCCCTCCTCCGGCTTCCTCTTTCCTCGTCTCTTTTTAAATAATTAAGAGACAACCAACTGCAGCAGGGGCCCCTCTCTCTCCCGGGGGCCCCCTGTTTGCTGCTGGCCCTTCAGCTAGGCGGCTGCTGCAGTGCAGCGGCCCGCTGTGTCTACTGCTGCTGTGTCTGCAGCAGCAGCAGCAGCAGCAGCAGCAGCTTTTCTGCCCCCATTTCGCCTATTTACGAGCTGTATATACACCCCAGTTTCGCTTCCTTTCGAGCCCCCAGAGGCTCCACAGGCGCAGCCGACGGCCGCGAGCTGCTGCAAGGAGACGGCGCTGCAGCTGAGGGTTTAGGGTTTAGGGTTTAGGGTTTAGGGTTTGCGGCGCAGCGGCTAGGGTTTAGAGATGGGCGACAAAGAGGGAGACGCAGCAGACACCCCAAAGTGCAATGCCCAGCCCCCCCATGAGTAGCCTCCTCGGCGCTTCTATCTTGAGTTCAGCAGCAGCAGCAGCAGCAGCAACAGCAGCAGCAGCAGCAGCAGCAAGAACAGCTGCAGCAGCAGCAGCAGCAGCTCACTCGCAGCACAAACAGTAGCAGGAAATGGACACAGCGCGGGCAGCAGTTGCTGCAGGGGCCCAGGAGGCGCCTTGCGAGGCCGGAAGGCCCCTAGCTGTAGCTGCTGCTGCTGCTGCTGCTGCTGCTGCTGCTCCCAGCAGCGAAAGCAGCAGCAACAGCAGCAGCTGCAGCCAGGTGAGCCTCTCCACGCAGCAGCAAGAGTCTGCTGCTGCTACTGCTGCTGCCAGGTCAGCAGCAGCAACCGGCGATGTGCCCGCCGGACCTCCCAGCACAACTCTCGTGTCCACAGCAGCAGCAGCAGCAGCAGCAGCAGCGCGGGCTGGCAGCAGCAGCAGCAGCAGCAGCAGCAGCAAACCAGCCGAAGACATCCAGTGGAATAGCCTTCTCTGCAAACATTTTCTCTTCGGCCGCTGCGCTCGAAAGCGCTGCCGCTTTTTGCATGCAGAGGGCGGGGGGGCTGAGGCGAAGGCAGCAGCAGAGCCTGCTGCTGCTGCTGCTGCTGCTGCTGCTGCTGCTGCTGCTGCTGGGGCTCAGGCAGCTCCTGCGCACTCGCAGCACCCTTACGATGTGCCGCTGCCGCCGCCGCAGCAGCAGCAGCGGCAGCAGCAGCAGCAGCAGAATGGAGACTGCAGCAACGGCGCATCCATGAGAGGTATGGCTGCTGCTGCTGCTGCCGCCCAAAAGAACAGCTCCAGCAGCAGCAGCAGCAACAGCAGCAGCAGCAGCAACAGTCTGGTTGTCCTGCTTTTGCCGTTTGCTGCAGGGCCAAACAGCAATGGCAAAGCCGGAGAGGACACCCACCCTGGCAACAGCAGCATTAAGCAGCAGCAGCAGCAGCAGCGGCAGCACAGGCAGCAGAATCGGCAGCAGAGGCAGCAGCAGCAGCGTGCTCAGCAGCAGCAGCAGCAACAGCAGCACCACTACTACAAAGGAAGGTAAGGAAGCGCTTCTGCTTCGATTTCTCTTGGAAGTTGCAGCTGCTGCTGTGCCTGCTGCTGCTGCTGCTGCTTTGTTTGCTGCTGCTGCCGTTTCGCTTCTTGCTGCTGCTGTTACTGTTTTCTCGTGCTATCACTGCTGCCTCTGCTGCTGCTGCTGCTGCTGCTGCTGCTGCTGCTTGCAGAGGCGCAATGTTGCTTCCCAGCTACAACGGAAAGGGGCCCCTGCAATCTGCTGCTGTTTTGGAGGCCCCCAGCAGCAGGGGGGCCCCTGCTGCAGTGCCATTCTGCGGGCTTGGGGACAGTGGCATGTCGCCTGCTGCAGCAGCAGCAGCTGCTGCTGCTGCTGCAGCAGCAAACACGGTTCCCGCGGGGCTGGGCGCTTCTGCTGCAGCAGCAAGCGGCGCTGCTTCTCCCTTTTGCTTCTCCGCGCCTTCCTGGGGCTACACGAAGCCGGGCCTGCCGCCCTGCAGCAGCAGCAGCGCAGCAGCAGCAGCAGCAGCAGCTGCTGCTGCTGCGCTGCGCGGCCACCGGCGGCCAACTGAGGAGCGGCTGCGGGAGGGAGCAGCACTGGGGAGGCGGGGCAGCCTGGGCAGCCTGAAGGCCGCGCCGCAGCAGCAAGCAACAGCAGCAGCAGCAGCAGCAGCAGCACTGGGCTTCCGCATAGAAGGGGACTTGGGGGCCCCCCAGGGGCCCCTCAGGGACCTCCGGGGGGTCCAGGCAGCTGAGGGTTTGGCTGACAAATACCAAACCCCTTTTGTTTGCGTTTATTTGCCTTCCACAGGATATTTAATTCATTTTCCGGGGGCCCGGGAGTCCGCAGCAGCAGGGGGAGCAGCAGCAGCAGCAGCAGCAGCAGCAGCAGCAGCAGCAGCCGCGGGCGCCAACGCCCCGCAGGCCAACTTGCACCCGAAGGGAAAGAGGGACCCCCACGACTTCTGCTCCAGCACGCGCATGCAGGAAGCAGGAGCAGCAGCAGCAGCAGCAGCAGCAGCAGCAGCAGCAGCAGCGCCTTTCTCTCCTTACTGCTGCAGCTCGGAGTACGAGCAGCAGCAGCACCGCCACCCGCAGCAGCACGCCATCCCCAACAATGCGCTGGAGCAGCAGCAGCAGCAGCAGCAGCAGCAAAGGCAGTGCTTCTCTAGGGGAGCGCATGCAGCAGCAAATCTGTACGCTCCGCAGCACCAGTTCGTGGGCCAGCGGCAAAACTCGGGCTTTCCGCTGCAGCAGCAGCAGCAGCAGCTGCTGCCGCTGCAGCAGCAGCCGCTGCTGCTGCTGCAGGAGCAGCTGCATGGCCTGTGCATGCCGTCTAAAGCAGACGCAAAGTACCCTTTAGGAGGCCCTGCTGCTGCTGCTTCCTTCTTCGGGGGGCCCTGCAGCAACGAGCAGCAGCAGCAGCAAAAGCAGCAGCAGCACATGCTGGGTGAGCCCACCACAGCAGCAACAGAAGAAGAAGAAACAGCAGCTTCACAGCTTACTCCCGAAAGCAGCAGCAGCAGCAGCAGCAGCAACGGCAGCAGCAGCAGCGGGTCTTCCTGCGAACTCCTCCAAAGACAGGAATCCAAGCTGCATGGAGCTGCTGCTGCCCCTGCAGAACAAGCAGCAGTGGCTGCTGCTGTTGCTGCTGCTGCTAGAAAGCGAGAGCAGCAGCAGCAGCAGCAGCAGCACAAGTCCCTGTGGGGAGGACCCGGGATAAGTGTACCGGCAGCTGCAGCGCAGCAGCGGAATTGTTGGGCGCAGGCCGCTCACGACCAGCAGCAGCAGCAGCAGCAGCCGCAGCAGCAGCAGCAGCAGCAGCAGCAGCAGCCCTTCTGGCTGCCCTCTCTTGAGGCCCTCGATGGGGAGACAGTGTGGCAAGCGAGGGACTGCAGCGGAGACGGAGCTGCTGCTGCTGTTGCTGTTGCTGAAGCAGCGAGTGTAGCTGCGGGCAGCAGCAGCAGCAGCAGCAGCAGCAGCAGCAGCAACGGCGCTCTCGGCGCCTCCAAAAGGAGAGGCGGGAAGCAAAACCTTTTTGCTGCTTTTCAAGACGAAAGACACGCAGCAGCAGCAGCAGCAGCAGCAGCAAGCCCCAGAGATATGGGAGAACTCGCGCAGCTGTCCCCCACAGCAGCACTTATAGCAGCAATTTGGGGGGCCGAGGAGCCCAACTCCCGCCCAGTTTCAGTTTCTAAGTACCCGCAGCAGCAGCAGCAACAGTAGCCGCAGCAGCAGCAGCAGCAGCAGCAGCAGCAGCAGCAGCAACGGCGGCTCAAACGAGCGTGCCGAAGTGCCGGCTTGCCGCGAGCTGGTGGTTCCCCAACAGTGCAGCAGCAGCGGCACAGCAGCAACAGCAACTGCACAGCAGCAACAGCTGCAGCAAAAGCTGCAGCAGCAGCAGCAGCAGCAGCAGCGGAAGGCTGCCAGCACAGGTGGAGGCAGAAAGAGCAAAGGCAGGCTCCAGCTGCAGCAGCAGGTTGAGGGCCCTCATATTGCTGCGGCGTCCACAAGCAGCAGCAGCAGCTGCAGCAGCTGCAGCAGCAGCAGCAGCAGCAGCAGCGGCAGCAGAGGGAGAGAGGTTAGAACCACAGGTGTTCGAGCTCAAGGAGATGTACGACAGAGCCAGTACATTTTTAGAGCATGTCTTTGGCTCTCGTTCTCCGCAGCTAGCTAGCTAGCTAGCTAGCTAGCTAGCCGGCTAGCTGGCGAACTAGCTAGCTAGCTAGCTAGCCACCTAGCTAGCTAGCTAGCTGCCCAATGCTGGTTCGTGACTATCTGATTGCGTGCCGCGAAGAGTGCAGCAGAAGGGAAGCAGCAAAGAAGGAAAAGTGAATTTAGTGCTTGTGGGGTGAGGTGCATGTACACCCCGGAGCTGTCTGTACACCCCAATCTGACCTGCCAGTGCGCAGGGTTTGGGTTTTTGTTTCTTTGCTGCTGCCTTCCACTTCTTCCTTTCTCCCTTCCAATGAGCAAAATGTTATTAATAATAATAATAATAATTATTATTATTATTATTCATCGATTTGGTTTCAAGTCCCCAGCCAGACGGCTGGCCGCAGCCTAGTTCAGGTGTACGTACACCTCAGCGGCTGTGCTGCAGCTGCCACAGCCCAACTCAGACACTTTTGTTGACCTCCAGCTTTTCCTTCCAACCCCGCACTTTCCACAAACCCGGGGGCCCCCAAGCAGGGGCCCCTAGGCGGGGGCCCCCAACAGGGGCCCCCTGAGCAGGGGGCCCCTCGAACGGGGGCCCCGCAATTTGGGGGCCCCTCAAACAGGGGCCCCTTGAACTGGGGGCCCCTACACGGGGGCCCCGTAGTTAGGGGGGCCCTACACAGGGGCCCCTCTCTTCAGCAGGGGCCCCTAAATAGGGGCCCCTTATTTAGGGCAACACTCACACAGGGGCCCCTTAAGTACGGGGGGCCCAGGGTAGGGGCCTTTGAAGCAGGGGGCCCCAAGATGGGGGCCCCTTAAGCAAGGGGGGCCCCAAAGCAGGGGCCCCCTATGCAGGGGGCCCTTAATTAGGGGGCCCCTCAAGCAAGGGGCCCCGAAACAGGGGCCCCTTAGGCAGGGGGCCCCAAGATGGGGGCCCCCCGCTTAAGGGGGCCCCTAAAGAGGGCCCCCGGGAGTGCCTTAACTGCTTTAAGCAAAGTGCGGTGCAGCGCGCCTATGCAGCAACAGCAGCAGCAGCAGCAGCAACAGCTGCTGCAGCAACACCAGCAGCAGCGACAGCAGCAGCAGCAGCGACTGCAGCAGCAGCAGCGACAGCAGCAGCAGCACTAGAGGAAGCAGAGCTGTCTGTACACCTGAACGCCAGCAGCGGCTTGGGGCCCCTAATTTCTCCATTGCTTTTCATTTATTTCATTTTTATAATTTTAGTTTTTTGCTTCTTTACACTTTTAAATAAAAGTAAAAGAGGCTGGGGGTTAAAAAGGGGCACAAACCGGTGTAAGGTTTAGGGTTTAAGGCGCTGAACCAATTTTTAGGGTTTAGGGTTTAGGGTTTTAGGGTTTAGGGTTTATGGCGTTGGAACAATTGCTCATGGTTTGGGGTTTGAGGCCTTAAAACGGCTTTTTAGGGTTTAGGGTTTAAGCTGTTAAACAAGCTGTTGAGGGTTTGGGGTTTGAGGTCTTAAAGGGGTTGTTTGGGGTTTAGGGTTTGGCCATTAAAGCAACTGTTTAGGGTTTAGGGTTTGGGTGTTGAAGCAGTTGTTTAGGGTTTAGGGTTTAGGGCGTTAAAACAAGTGCTTGGGGTTTGGGGTTTAAGGTGTGTAAATAGTTGCCTAGGGTTTAGGGTTTGGGGGTTAAGGCAATTGTTTAGGGTTTAGGGTTTAGGGTTTAGGGTTTAGGGTTAGGGTTGGGGTTTAAGGTGTTATAGCAATTGTTTAGGGTTTAGGGTTTGAGTTGTTAAAGCAGTTGTGTAGGGTTTAGGGTTTAAAGTGTTAGAGCAACTATTTAGGGTTTAGGGTTTGGGTGTTAACTTCAAGTGTTCACAAACCACGACATAGGGTTTAAACCAAGTGTGAATGAACGCGGGGTTTAGGGTTTGGGAATTAGGGTTTAGGGTTTAAATCAGTAGTCCATCAATCAGGGTTTAGAGCTTAAATCGAGGATTTATGGAATAAAAGTCATACCTGCTGCTGCTGCTGCTGCTGCTGCTGCTGCTGCTGCGGGGGCTGGGGTGGTGGGGGCCCCCCGGGGGGGCCCCCATGGCATCCAGTGGGCCCCCTTGAGCGTTTTGCTGCTTTTTGTTTTATTATTTTTCTTTTATAATTTTATTTTATAAATTAAAATCTGTCATTGGGGCGCTCCAGGTGTATATACACCTCCTGTTAGCAGCACCTGCTGCGCCGCTGCTGCTGCCTTGGGGGGTATGGCACAGCAGCAGCAAAGCAGGCTCAGTGCTGCAGCAGCAGAAGCAGCAGCAGCAAAAGCAGCTGCAGGGAGAAAGACAAGTTAGCCGTGAGGTTTTTCCTCGCAGAAGCACTCGTGTGGCCGGCTTTTGCTGCCGCTGCTGCTGCTGCTGCTGCTGCTGCTTATGGGACGCAATTGCTGCTACTACAGCAGCAGCAGCAGCAGCAATACAACCGCCACAGCAACAGCAACTGCTGCTGGGTCTTCTGCAGCAGCGTTTACTCCCAAAGCTGCTGCTCTTTCCGGGGCTGTCTTGGTCTTTAGGGTACCTGCTGCTGCTCTCCAGTCCCCTAAGTTGCAGCGTAGGGTTTAGGGTTTAGGGTTTAGGGTTTAGGGTTTTAGGGTTTACAGCGAGGTGTCCCTTAAGGAGCCCCTCCCGTTGCTCTGCAGCATGGTGGTACACCTGTAATGCCAGGGACGCAGCAGCAGCTGCAGCAGCAGCAGCTGCTGCAGCAGCAGCAGCAGCTGCAGAAGCAGCAGCAGCAGCAGCAGCAGCAGCCTCAGCAAGAGCAGCAGCAGCCTCAGCAGCAGCAAGCATCTACTCTCCCCGAAACCATTCCTGCTGCTTTATTTTATTCGCGGCCTTCTGGCCACGCCCCTCCGTCGAAAGCAGCAGGAGCAGCAGCAACAGCAACAGCAGCAGCAGCAACAGCAGCAGCAGCAGCAGCAGCAGCAGCAGCGCCGCCGCTGGGCGATACTGTGTTTCGCTTTGGCCGTTTTGCTGGCAAGACATTTTCTTTTGTTGCAGCAGCAGAAAGCAGCTACTGCAGATGGGCCCGCAGCCTTGCTGCTCCCACGGGGCAGCTTGCTGCTTTCGTTGCCTATCTGCAGCAGCAGCAGCAGCAGCAGCAGCAGCAGCAGCAGGGGCTGCTGCCAGCTGAAGTGCAGCGGCAGCCCAGACAGCTCAAGCTGCAGGTCTCTCCCAACAAGACCCTGCGCCTTGCTGCAGGCGGCGCTGCTGCGCAGCAAAGAGCAGCAACAGCAGCAGCAGCAGCAGCAGCAGCAGCAGCACGGGGAACGGTACCTGCAGCAGCTGCTGCTGATGCCGCGGGACAGGTAGCAGCAGCAGCAGCAGCAGCAGCAGCAAGCGCGGACGCACCGGCGCTGCAGCATCCTTCCCCACTGTCTTCTTTCAGTTTGCCCTCGACAGAGGAAGCAGCAGCAGCAGCAGCCCCTGCACCTGTTGCTGCTGCTGCTGCTGCTGCTGCTGCCCCGCCTGCTGCTGCTGCTGCGCATCCCACTGTGGAGGACCTCGCGAGTGACTTCGACTTCGACATCAGTGTGCTGCAAGAACAGCAGCAGCAGCAGCAGCAGAACGATGCAGCAGCACAAGCAGCAGCAACTGCTGCTGCTGCAGAAGCGCCCGCAGCAGCAACACCGCAGCAGCAGCAGCAGCAGCAGCAGCAACAGCAGCAGCCAGTTGCTGTTTGTGTCCCCGTCCGAGTGTCTCATGCCCCCAAAGGCGCCCTGCAGTTTATGGATGCCTTTCGCTACGATGCTGCTGCTCCCTGCAGCAGCAGCAGCAGCAACAGCAGCAGCAGCAGCAGCAGCAGCAGCACCTTCTCGAGGGTGCTGCCATTCGGCAAGACGGCAGGGGCGAACCCAGCCACAGCAGCAGCAGCAGCAGCAGCAGCAGCAGCAGCAGGCGTTGCTGCTTCTCCAACTATTCACTTGGAAGCAACAATATCTTTTGAGATTTGTTCAGAAGACAAGTTCAGAGTTCTCGCGCTGCAGCAGCAGCAGCAGCAGCACAGAAGACACGGGGCCCCACGCGGCGGCAGCAAAGGTGCCTTGTGGAGCCCTTTGCTGCCAAGGGCTCTGGGGGATTACCTGCTGGTGTGCTGCTGCTGCTGCTGCTGCTGCTGCTGTTCTTGCTGCTGCTGCTGTTCTTACTGCTGCTGCTGCTGCTGCTGTGGGACCTTCCGCCGCTGCTGCTTTTAGTCCTGCTGCTGCTGCCGCTGCTGCTGCAAGGCTTGTTGTTGCTGCGGCTCACCCTGCTGTTGCTGCAGCTGCTGCTGTTTCTGTTGCATTTGCTGCTGCTGCTGCTGCTGTTGCTGCGGTCAGGCTCTCAAAGAGGGTTGGGCTAAAGAGGAGGACACTCAAGGTGCTGCAACGGGAAGCAGCAGCAGCAGCAGCAGCAGCAGCAGCAGCAGCAGCAAGTTTGGCAGCAGCGGCACGGCAGTTGATCCAGGGCCCTTTGAAGCTTCTCGATACACTCAGGTTCTTGAGGGCGTTAAAAAGGTAGGCTGCTGCTGCTGCTGCTGCTGTTGCTGCTGCTGCTGCTGCTGCTGGGGCTGCTGCTGCTGCGGCAGCGTTTGTTGCCCCTGTCAGGGCTGCAGCACACCATGGCAGCAAATATGCGGTGCTTAGCTGCTGCTGCTGCTGCTGCTGCCAATTTGGCTGCTGTCTTAGTGCAGCTGCGGCTGCTGCTGCTACGGATCCGCTGCTGCTGCTGCTGCTGCTGCTGCTGCAGGGCTTTACGTTCACCTCCTTGGAGCCTATTCCTTCGTTTGTGCTGCGGGCCTTTGCTGCCTTCCAACCTTTTGCTGCTGCTGCTGCTGTGCCCAAGAAGACGGCGCTGGTGCTGCTGCGGCACAAGCTCCCACCATCACCCCAGCTGCTCGGCCTGCAGCAGCAGCAGCAGCAGCAGCAGCAACAGCAGCAGCAGCAGCAGCAGTCGTCTGCTGGCGACGCATCTTCGGGCGGAAGCGCCGGCGCCGCGCCTGCAGCTGTAGCAGCTGCAGCAGCTGCAGCTGCTGCAGCAGCTCCCCCCGCCGCCGCACCCGCAGCAGCAGCAGCCGAAGGCGCAGCAGCAGCAGCAGCAGCAGCAGCAGCAGCAGCAGCAGGCGTGGAGCCGAATCTTTTTGCTTCCCTCAGGGAGTTCCAAAGACAAGGAGTTGCTTTTGGACTGCAGCGCCACGGGAGAGTTCTCATTGGCGACGAAATGGGACTTGGAAAAACCATCCAGGTGCCCCTTTGCCCCAGCTAGCTAGCTAGCTAGCTAGCTAGCTAGCTAGCTAGCTAGCCAACTAGCTAGCTAGCTAGCTAGCTGCGCAGCTGGCTAGCTGGCTTGCTGGCTGGCTGGCTAGCTGGCAGTCTGGTTGCCTGTGTGGCTAGCGAGCTAGGTAGTGAGATAGCTAGCTGGCCATTTGGCCGTCCGGCTGAGCAGCTGGCTGGCGCGCCTTGAGTAGACGCTAGCTAGCTAGCTAGCTAGCTAGCTATCAAGCTAGCTAGCTATCAAGCTAGCTAGCTAGCTAGCTAGCTAGCTAGGGGGCTAATGAGGCATTTGGCTAGATGGCTGGATAGCTAGCTAGGTGGGCAGGGAACGGCAGCGGGAAGGCGACTGGCTAGCTCGCGATGGTTGGCTAGCTAGCGGTGACTGGCTAGCTAGCTAGCCAACTGGCCAGCTAGCTACCTAGCTAGTTAGCTAGCTAGCTAGCTAGCTAGCTAGCTACGCCCAGCGGCTGCGTGTCTTTCTTTCAGGCCCTCACAATCGCCGCACAGTATCTTGAAGACTGGCCGCTCCTCGTTGTTTGCCCCTCTTCCATGTAAGCGCAGCAGCAGCAGCAGCAGCAGCAGCAGCAGCAGCAGCAACAGGAGCCGCAGCCGAAGCAGCCACAGCAGCAGCAGCAGCAGCAGCAGAAGCAGTTGCAGTTGCAGCAGTAGCAGCTGCAACAACGTCAGTAGAAACAGTAGCAGCGGTAGCATCGACAGCGGCAGCAGCAGCAGCAAGAGTAGCAGCAGCAGCAGTAGCAGCAGCAGCAGCTGCAGCAGCAGCAGCAGCAGCAGCATGAGCGCTTATTTCTTTTTCTTTCGTGTCTCAGTCGATTCCAGTGGCGAGACCAGGCGCTGAGGTGGCTGGGGCATATTCTTTCTCCTGAGCAGGTACTGTAGCTAGCTAGCTAGCTAGCAGCCAGCTATCTAGCTAGCTAGCTAGCTAGCTAGCCGTCCAGCTAGCCGTATGGCTGATAGATAACTATCCAGCTAGGCAGCTAGCCAGATAAAATAAAATGTTCAGCCAAATGTCTTGCTAGCTAGCTAGCTAGCCAGCTAGCTAGCCAGCTAGGGAGCTGGACAGCTAGCTAGCTAACTAGCCTGACAGCTAGATAGCTAGCTGGCTAGCTAGCTGAAGAGCCAGCAAAGCACGCAGCTACCTTGGGGAACGAGAAAGGGTGGCTGCAAAGGGCTCTAGAAGGAGTTACCGGGTGCAGCATACCTGGCTCACTAGGGTTTGGGGTTTAGGGTTTAGGGTTTAGGGTTTAGGGTTTAGGGTTTAGGGTTTGGGGTTTGCTTCAGATCTGCATCATAAGGAACGGGAAAAGCGAAATAGCGCCTGAGACGCGACTGGTCATAATCTCTTACGACCTTTTGGCCAAACAAGAGAAGTTCCAGGCCAACTACCAGGCAAACCCTAAACCCTAAACCCTAAACCCTAAACCCTGAATTTTAAACCCTGGTTTCTAAGCCCTAAACCCCGAATTCGAAACCCTAAACCCTAGGGCGAGAGTTAAGGGGATGCAGGGTTTAGAGTTCGCGCGCTCACGGATGAAATGCTCGACCTATGATCCCCAAACCCTAAACCCTAAACCCTAAACCCTTGTTCTCTTTGCCGCTGCTGCAGTGCGTCATTTGCGACGAGTCCCACTACTTGAAGAACCACCACGCCAAGAGGACGCAAGCGGTGATTTCAGGGTTTAGGGTTTAGGGTTTAGGTTTTAGGGTTTAGGGTTTAGGGCGTTTGCTTGTTTACCGCTCAAGCGGCTGGCCACGTGGCCAGCGGGCTGGGCGCTACTGCGCATCTGCAGCTAGCTAGCCAGCTAGCTAGCCAGCTAGCTAGCCAGCTAGCTAGCCAGCTAGCTAGCTAGCTAGCTAGCTAGCTAGCTAGTAGATAGCTATTAGCTCTCGTAGTCACTTGCTCAGCTAGCTAGGTGGCTGGCTGGCCAGCCAGGTAGCTAGCTAGCTGTTTGGCCAGCCAGCAAGCTATCTGGCCAGCGAGCTAGCTAGCTAGCCAGCCAGCTAGTTAGCTAGCCAGCCAGCTAGCTAGCCAGCCAGCTAGCCAGCTAGCCAGCTAGCTAGCTGTTGACTGCGTGTGGGTTTGTGCAGATTTGCCCAATGCTGCGGCAGGCGCGGCGGGCTTTGCTGCTGTCAGGGACCCCCGCCTTAAACCGCCCAGTGGAGCTTTACCAGCAGCTGAACTCCCTAGTAAGCTAGGGTTTAGGGTTTAGGGTTTAGGGTTTAGGGTTTAGGGATTGGGGTTTGCGCACAAAAGAAGAAAACGGCGGCAGCAAGTAGAGCAGTTTTAACTAATCGAATGGAATTTAAACTTGAATTCGAATGGAAATTTTGCTGCCGCCGCTGCCGCTGCTGCTGCTGCTGCTGCTGCCGCTGCTGCTGCTGCTGCTGCCGCTGCTGCTGCTGCTGCTGCCGCTGCTGCCGCTGCTGCTGCTGCTGCTGCTGCTGCTGCTGCAGCTGCCGGACTTGTGCTCGTACCGGGAGTTCAGCGCGCGGTACTGCCTTCCGGTCTTCAACTCTTTTTCGAAAAGAATGGAAGACGAAGGCCACCAACATCAGCAAGAATTGCATTTGCTGCTGAAGGAAACCATTCTCATTCGCAGGCTCAAGAAGGACGTCCTCACGGAACTCCCCCCCAAAACGCGGCAAGAAACCCTAAACCCTAAACCCTAAACCCTAAACCCTCAGCCCGTCCCCGCCACGCCGCAGGGCCTTTCTCTGCTGCTGCTCCTGCTGCTGCTGCTGCTCGGGAGGGTAGCCTTTGCCTGCCCCGTCTTTAGCGGAAACTTAAGGGGCCACGTGGCTCCGCTTAGGGTTTAGGGTTTAGGGTTTGGGGTTTAGGGTTTAGGGTTTGGGGTTTAGGGTTTAGGGTTTGCGGGCAGGTCGCGCATTCCCATCGAAATCCCCGCGAAGGAGATGAGGGAAATTCGCAAGCGAATGGAAGGTGTTGATGCTGCTGCTTTGGTTGCCTTTGGATCAAAAGCAGCAGCAGCTGCTGCTGCAGCAGCTGCAGCAGCAGCTGATTCAGCAGAGGTGGGTTAGAGAACGAGCACTTAATAAACAGCAGCAGCTGTTGACCTGCAGCAGCACTTAATCAGAATGCAGCACTTAACTTCTTCCTCACCTCCTTATCAGCAGCCGCAGCAGCAGCAGCAGCCGCAGCAGCAGCAGCAGCAGCAGCAGCAGCAGCAGCCGCAGCAGCAGCAGCAGCAGCAGGAGGAGGCGCGTGCGGGTGAGCGGGTGTGCGTGCGAAAATCCGTGTGCTTCCGCGCAGGCTCCGGACAGCTGCGCAGCAGACCCTGCGCCTCACGCGCAGCAGCAGCAGCAGCAGCAGCAGCAGCAGCAGCAGCAGCAGCAGCAGCAGCAGCGGGGCAGCCACGCTGCAGTGTCGGAGCTGTTTGCGCTGACGGGGCGCGCGAAGCTGGGGGGCGTGTGCGAGTACTTGGGCTATTTGCTGCAGTGCAGCGTCAAGTTTATTGTTTTTGCTCATCATTTATTTGTTTTGGATTTTATTTTTTTGTTTTTGCAAAAACAAGAAAAGACAAAAGCTGTTCTCATCGACGGCAGGACGCCGCAGCAGCAGCGCGAAGACAAGGTCCGCCAGTTCCAAACGGACCCCGACTGCAAGGTATTTCATTTTTTATTTTTATTTATTTATTTATTTATTTATTTATTTTATTTATTTATTTGTTTGTTTGTTTTTAGTTTTTGTTTTGCTGCTCTGCTGCTCGCTGCCTTTCGGCTCGTGGGCTTTTCGCTTCTCCAGCTTTCCTGGTTCTCGACTTCTGCCAGACTTGCATCCTGCTGCTGCTGCTGCTGCTGCTGCTGCTGCTGCTGGTTGCATTGCTGCTGCTGGTTGCATTGCTGCTGCTGGTTCTGCCGCCGTGCCGGTTGTTGTTGCTGCTGCTGCGACGCGTGGAGCTACGCCGTTCCTGCTGCAGCACCTGCTGCTGCTGCTGTAGTTCGTGTTGCTTCGCCACTCCTGCTGCAGTGTCTTCAGCTGCTGCTGCTGCTGCTGCTGCTGCTGCTGCTGCTCAGGTTGCTGTGCTGTCGATAACGGCTTGCGGGCAAGGGCTGGACTTAACTGCTGCAGTGAGTGGAAATGGGGCTTCGGGTGTACAGACAGACTGCTGCAGCAGCAGGGCGCATGCATTTGCTGCTGCAGCGTGGGCCAGCAGCAGAGAAGTTTGAAATTTATTTATTTTGCAAAAACTTCTGCCTTTTCGAAATAAATATATTTTATTGTTTCTTTTGTTTCTTCCTGCTGCGCATGCAAGTAGCGCCAGAAATCTTTCTTTTGCCAGTTTTCCGGTGTACGTACACCCCAAGCTGCAGAGAACCCCGCTGCAGCGCAGCAGCTGCAGCACAGCTGCAGCAACAACAGCGGATGCTGCTGCAGCAGCAGAGACCCGCCAGCCCCTGCTCTGGCTGCTGCTGCTTCTGCTGCGGCTTCTGCCGCTGCTCCCCCTCCCGTTCTTACTCCCGCTGCTGCTGCTGCTGCTGCTGCTGCTGCTGCTGCTGCTGCAGAGTACAGTGGTCTTCGCGGAGCTGTATTGGGTGCCGGGGTATATTCTTCAAGCTGAAGACAGATCCCACAGAATTGGCAGCAAACACCAGGCAGTGCAAATCCACTACTTGATTGGAGAGGTAAACCCTAAACCCTAAACCCTAAACCCTAAACCCTTGAGCGTGAACAGGAGACCCCAAACAGTAGACAAATTGTGCGGAGCACCACTCTAAACCCTAAACCCTAAACCCTAGGCCAAAAGCAGCAAAGGAGCAAATGCTGAGCAGCTGATAAGGGGGTAAACCAGTACAGCGGCAGCAGCAGCAGCACGAGTAGCAGGAGCAGCAGCAGCAGCAACACGAGCAGCAGCAGCAGCTGCTGCTGCTGCAGCTGCAGCAAGGGAGCGAGCTGCAAAAAGAGCCGTTTCAAAGGCGCCGTTTGTCGAAGCGATTTACGCCTTGCTGCCGCTGCTGCTACTGCTGCTGCTGCTGCTGCTGCTGCTGCTGCTGCAGGGGACTCTGGACGATGCAGTGTATCGGATGCTGCAGAGCAAATGGGGTGTACTGACAACAGCTCTGGACGGGGAGCAGCAGCAGCTGAAAATGGAGAGCTGCAGCAAAAACTCAGTGCCTTGTTTGCTGCAGCAAAGTGACAGCAGCAGCAGCAGCAGCAGCAGCAGCAGCGGGGCTGCCATTAACACTAATGGCGATAACTTTAATAAAAGCAATGGCAGTTATAAAAAAAATGGCAAATTAAAAAAGTGCAAAGATCCGGAAGAAGAACACAAAGATGTTTTTGATTTGAGCGAAGAAGAAGACATAGATGAAGTGCTGGAGGTGCAGAAAACAGACAAACGAAAGCAGCAGCAGCAGCAGCAGCAGCAGCAGCAGCAGCAGCAGCAGGGGCTGCTGCAGTTCTTCAAGAAGGCGCGGACCGACTTGGCAGACAGCAGCTGAACTTTTTATTTTTATTTTGGTGCTGCAGCGAGCGCATTGGCGACTCTGACGCAGCAGCAGCAACAGCAGCAGCAGCTGCTGCAGCAGCTGCAGCAGCAGCTGCACAGCTCCACAGCTGCTGCTGCTGCTGCTGCTGCTGCGCGTGTGTTTAGCAACATATCTCTTATTCCTTTAAATGCATGTTGATAATCTAAATTTAATTTATTTTTAGAAATTAAATTTAAATAATAAATATTTAAATAAAAACAATTTAATTTATTATTAGAAATTAAATTTAAATAATAAATATTTAAACAAAAACTAAATTTGCAATAAATGCAAAAACGCTTAATTCCAATTTCTACAGAACTGCCTTTAACGCTCTAGTGAAATAAAAGTAAATAAAAACTAAATAAATAAATAATAAATAAATAAATAAATAAATAAATAAATAAATAAATAAATAAATAAATAAATAAATAATAAATAGATGAATAAATAAATGAATAAATGGTTGGATGGGGAGGAAAAGAAGTAACGTTAAAGCTTAAAACCGTTCGCAGCATTTGCTGCTGCTGCTGCTGCTGCTGCTGCTGCTACTTTCTCCTTCTGTCTGTCTATGTACGCCCGTATCTGCAGCAGCAGCTGCTGCTGCTGCAGCAGCTGCTGCTGCAGCAGCTGCTGCTGCTGCAGCAGCAGCTGCTGCTGCAGCAACAGCAAAGAGGAAGGCGCTTGCATTTTACGCCCTTCCTATCTTGCCGCTGGTCTCTCTGCTGCTGGGTTCTGTGCTGCTGGCTGCCCCCCACTTATCTGCTGCTGCTGCTGCTGCTGCTGCTGCTGCTGCTGCTGCTTCTGTTTTGGGGCCCGACTTGCCTATAGGCAGGTCCCCGAAGAAGCCAGGCACATGCGTCTGGCCTTCGCTGCTGCTGCGGCTGCTGCTGGGGTAGTTTGCTGCTGCTGCAGCTGGAGCGTAGGCTCTGCTGTGTGCTGCAGCGAGACCAGCCAGCTGCTGCTGCTGCTGCTGCTGCTGCTGCTGCTGCTGCTTGGGAGGCAAGTAGAAAGTTGCTGCTGCTGCTTGCATGCAGTACACCTCAGTGGCGCTCTCGCGCACGTCGACTGCGTCGAAGGGCTGTCCCAGGGCTTGCTGCTGCTGCTGCTGCTGCTGCTGCAGCAGCAGCAAAGATGGCTGCTGCTGCTGCTGCGGCAGCCTTATTGAATTCATCAAGCCAGGGGCCCCGGGGGCCCCCCCCCCAGGCAAAGTAGTCCACCATTCCGGCTGCGTGAGTTCTACGGGGGGCTCCTGCGAGTTAGTAGAAAACAAAATTAGGGTTTAGGGTTTAGGGTTTAGGGTTTAGGGTTTAGGTTTGAGACGGTGGGTAGAGCTGAGGCATGAAGAAGTTGTGAGAGTTCTGAGCGTTTAGAAAGGGCTGGAGGGGGGTTTAGGGTTTAGACGAGGGTTTAGGGTTTAGACGAGGGTTTAGGGTTTAGAGGAGGTTTTAGGGTTTAGAGGAGAGTTTAGGGCGTAGAGGAGAATCTAGGGTTTAGAGAAGGGTCTAGAGTTTGGCAGAGGGTTTAGGGTTTAGAGGAGGACTTGGTGAAGGTTTTGGGGTTTAGAGGAGTGTTTAGGGTTTAGGGTTTAGGGTTGAGAGAAGGGTTTAGGGTTTAGAGAATGGTTTGGGTCCAAGCGCGGGTCGAATTAGGAATTGGGGAGTTGTAGGGTTTAAGGAGCAGGAAGGGCCTAGGGTTTGAGCGTCGGGGACGAGGTTTAGCTAAAATTAGGGTTTAGGGTTTAGGGTTTAGGGTTTAGGGTTTGGGGTTTACTTTACAGAGCCCGAGTGTGCGGAAGAGGCAAAAGGGGTCGATTGTCATTGCGGAAGGTTTGCGGTGTACGTACACCTGAGCTTCGAATATAATTGGGCCTCTACTTTTCCCTCTTTGCCTCTTTAGAATAAAGAAGCAGTTGCTGCTGCTGCTGCTGCTGCTGCTGCTGCTAAACGGGGTTGTATCTGGAGTGTACGTACACTCCAGCCTGCTGCGGCTGGCCGGCCCTCGGCTGTTTGGCGCAGGGCGTCCGCGCCCTTCGGCCTTTTCCGGCTCTTTTTTCTCTATTTTAGCCCCAAATTGTGTTTAAAATGACTCTTTGTGATGAAAATAAACCCAAAAATGCGAAAGAAAGGCCAAGTTTCAGGTGTACGCGCACCGCGAGGCCCGGCGGCGCCGCCGACACGTTGGGTGGGCGCCGTGGTGCGGTGTACGTACACCCCAGCTCATAGTGAGCTGAAATACAAAATCAAACCATTTAAATAAATCCAATTCTTATTTTAAAAGTCAAAATAAAGCGAAAAAAGCAGAAAAAAGACAGAGGGAACGCCAACAGGCATTCTTCAGCCCCGGCGCGGCGGCAGCTGCCGCCTGCTGCTGCTTTAAAAAGCAATTTAATGCCGAACTCACTGCAAATTTAAATAAAGTTTTTATTTAATTAATTAATTTAATTAAATTTTTAATTTAAAAAGAGGCAAGTTTGCGGACAAAGAGCGCTGCTGCAGCCACCCGCGGCATCTGCTGCTGATGAGCTATGCTGCCTCAGAATTCAGTTCTTTTATTTTGGGATTTTTACTTCAAATTTTTATAATTTTTAATTCTTTTTCTTTTCTTTTTTTCAAGAAGTTTATTTTCTCTTTTTTTAATCCATTTTCATCCACGAGGCTCGAAAAGAGAGAACAGAGCAGCAAAAAGCAAACAAAAAACCCGGAAAATAAAAAAATATTTGATTTCAATAAATAATTTCATTCATTTAAATAGACAAATAGCCGTTTAATTTAAAAAAATAAATACAATTATTTATTTAATTCAAATATTTTATACTGCTGCCTAAAAAAGAATTTAATTTTCCTCCTTAGGCAGCAAAACAAAAGCAAAAACATTTCTGCTGCTCTTTGTTTCAGGTGTATAGGCAGCTGCTCATCCGTCCCTAATCAAAACAAAGAGCCAAAACAACACCAGCAGCAGCAGCAGCAGCTGCAGCAGCAGCTGCAGCAGCTGCTGCAGCAGCAGCACCTGCAGCAGCAGCTGCAGCAGCACCTGCAGCGGCGGGTGCTGCAGCTGCTCTCACCGCCACTAGTGGCAAAATCAGAGTTTTGGTCTTTCTTGGATGCAAGAGGAGCCTAACCTAATAAACCCCAAACCCCAAACCCTAAACCCTAAACCCTAAACCCTAAAAACTGTATCGCAGCGCCCGCTAAGCTCAGGCAGCTGGCCATTTGGGCGAAATGAATGAAAGGAAAAAGCAAATAAAAATAATTTTGGAATTTTATATTTGTGGATTTTGAATCGGCACTGAGCTGGCCAAACCCTAGAAATATAAATCGCGTCGGCTAGATAAGCAGTGGCTTTAGGGTTTAGGGTTTAGGGTTTAGGGTTTAGGGTTTAGGGTTTAGGGTGGAACGTTTAGGGTTTAGGGTTCAGGGTTTAGGGTGCATCCCAGCTAGCTAGGAAAAGCCTCTCTAGCTCAAATGCCCATATTAGAGAGGGGGCTAGAAAGACTCGAGGGTTTAGGGTTTAGGGTTTAGGGTTTAGGGTTTACGCAGCTAGGCAGTGTCTTTCTAGCTCAAAAGTTCAAATCAAAGCAGCCGCTAGAAAGGCTTTAGGGTTTAGAGTTTAGGGTTTAGAGCCCAGGGTCTAGGGTTTAGGGCTCAGTGTTCAGCGTTTAGTGTTTAGGGTTTAGGGTTTAGGGTTTAGGGTTTGGTGTTATAGGTTTAGGAAGCTGCGCAGCACCTCTCTAGATAAAATGCCTGAGACAGAGCAGCAGCTAGAAAGCATTTAGGGTTTAGGGTTTAGGGTTTAGGGTTTAGGGTTTAAGGTTTGAAAAGCTAGGCAGAGCCTCTCAAATCAAACGCCAAAATCAGAGCAGCGGCTAGAAAGGCTCGAAGGTCTAAGGTTTAGGGTTTAGGGTTTAGGGTTTAGGGTCTAGGGTTTGGGATTTAGGTAGCTAGGCAAGGCTACTCTAGCTCAAGTGCCTTAAATCGGAGCAGCGGCTAGGCAAGCTTTCACATTTACTGTTTAGGGTTTAGGGTTTAGGGTTTAGGGTTTAGGGTTTAGAGTTTGGGGTTTAGGTAGTGAGGCAGCGTCGCTCTAGTTCAAATGCCTATAGTCAGAGCAGCAGCTAGAAAGCGTTTGATCTTCAGGGTTTAGGGTTTAGGGTTTAGGGTTTAGGTAGCTACGCAGTTTGTCTCTAGTTCAAATGGCCTAAACTAGAATGTATTTAGGGTTTAGGGTTTAGGGTTTAGGGTTTAGGGTTTACAGTTCGGATCTCTTCTGGGCGTGGGCCCGATCTTGGAAACGGAAGCATTTTACGAAACGATTAGTTTTGAGGTTTCAGGGTCTAGGGTTGAGGGTTTTAGATTTGATTTGCAGTATTTAGGGTTTAGGGTTTAGGGTTTAGGGTTTAGGGTTTAGGGTTTAGGGTTTCGAGTTCGTAGTGAGCGAGCCACTGGAAGGTCACTTGGGACCATCGATTTGGGGCGCGGCTATTGAGGGTGTCTCGGCCTTGCAACCCAAACCCTAAACCCTAAATTAAAAACCCTAAAAAAGGGTTTGCAATTTAGGGTTTTAATTAGGGTTTAGGGAGGTTTAGCTGCCGGGCCAGCGCCTAAGGTCTGCTGAGGCGGGTGGCTTGCTGGAGGGTTTGGGGGACTAAGCCCTTGAAAAGGGTTTAGGGTTTGGGCCTTAGGGTCTTGAAATGCGGAATAAAATCCTGGTTTTCGGGGTTTAAAATGCACTTTCGAGGGCCTGAAAACTAGGGTTTAGCGTTAAGGGTTTAGGGTTTAGGGTTTAGGGTTTGCGGCGCGCGAGTGGTCGGCGGCGGTCTGCTGCGCTGCGCCGCGCTGGCTGTTTGGTGTTTGCGCGCGCGGCCCTTCAGTTTGAGATCTTCTGCATCATTTTTCATTTTAAATTGAATTAAAATTGGAAAAAGTAATTAAATAAAGTTTCTTTTTCACAATGAGGGCCTTTTTCGGCGGTGTGAGCGGCCGCAACAGCAGCAGCAGCAGCAGCAGCAGCAGCTGCTTCGATTTGAGGCGCTGCGCGCTGTCGGCGCTGCTGCTGCTGCTGCTCTGCGCCCCTGCTGCAGCCCTCGGGCCCGGACTGCAGCAGCAAATAATAAGTGGGAGCAGCAGCTCTTTCCCTGAGGAGGAGAGGTCCTCGCTCTGGGGTGTACGTACACCCGAAGAGGCCGCTGCTGCTGCTGCTGCTGGCGGCGGCCCAGCAGCAAACCCCGCAGCAGCAGCAGCAGCAGCAGCAGCAGCGCCGCGAGCGAGCCTGCTGCAGCTGGGCCGGGGGCTGCTGCGCAGCGCGAAGTCGCGGCTGCAGCAGCGCCGCAGGGAGCGCCGGCGGCAGCAGCAGCTGCGGCGGCTGCTGCCTTTCCTCGCGCTGCAGCAGCACGGCCGTTTGGCCCTCAACTCCGAACTTGTGTCTATTCAAGAAGCCTTAAAGGGGGAGTCTTTTGTGGGCCCCCGCGGCCGCCGCTACTTGGTGTCTTCAGTGTTGGCCTTTCGTCCTTTATTTCTGTACTTGCAGGTGGAGGCCCCCTCGGGGGCCCCCGGGGAGGGTACTGGCGCGGGGGGCCCCCCGGGGGGCCCCCCGGGGGGCCCCCGGCGGGGCCTGCGCAGGGGCCCCCGCAAGGGCCGCGGGGGGGCCCCCGGGGGCCCCCAAGGGGCCCCCAGCTTCACCGTGAGGTTCCCAGTGACTGCTGCTGCTCCCGAAGACGTGTCTGTGGAGGAAGCAGCAAAAGAAGCAGCAGACGCGGAGCAGCAGCGGCTGCTGCTGCCGCGGGCCTTCAAAGTCTTTACTGTGAAAAGCAACGGACTTGGAAGACTGGATGACAACAAAGAAAGGAAGTTTGTAATTCAGTTTCTGGACACTCTCGTGGTGAACTCTGGGGAGGCTTTGGAGCCGCTGCTGGGGCCGCTTGCTGCAGTGCCTGCTGCTGCTGTGGGGCGCGAGCTGCGCGTACACCTCAGCAGCAAAGCAGCAGCAGCAGCAAGACAAGCTGTCCTTAAGAACGTTGTCTTGACTTTGGCCAACCCCACAAGTCTGTGGCTCACTCGGGGGGGGCAGGTCAAGTTTGCAGACACCAGGGGGGTCATTTTCGGCAAGGCAAGGCCTGCTGCTGCTGCTGCTGCTGCTGCTGCAGCAGAACCCCACAAGCGACTCGCAGCAGCACTTGCTGCTGCGCTCCACAACTTGTGGTGCGCCCCAGAAACCCCCCCCCAGGCCCCCCCCCCGCGCTTCCAGCCGCCGCCCCCAGCAGCAGCAGCAGCAGCAGCAGCAGCGCAGCCAACTCCCCCAGCAGCAGCAGCAGCAGCGGAGCCAGCAGCAGCAGAAGAGGAAGCAGCAG